ACCCTGGAGGGGATGGACCGAAGACAGTGACCAAGCCATTTGTCTCGTGCTATCCCTCTCCAGCCTTCCACAATCCTTGGGCAGGGACACCACTCCTACCCCCTGGCTCATAGCACTCCATGGACCCAACCTCCATCACTTTATCTCACTTCTCTTTAAACTCTGTTCTAGTTGTAGCCTTCACAGCCTCCTGCAGCAAGGAGTTCCACAGGTTGACTCTTTGCTTTGTGAAGAACAACTTTCTGTTACTAGTTTGAAGCCTGCTACCCATTCCTTTCCTTTGGTGTCCTCTAGTCCTTCTTTATGGGAACTAATGAAGAACTTTTCTGTATGCACCGTCTCCAGCCAACTCCTGCTTTTAGAGACCTCTATCCTGTCCCCCCTCTGTCTCCTCTTTTCTAAGCTGAAAAGTCCCAGTCTCTTTAGCCTCTCTTCATATGGGACCTGTTCCCAACCCCTGATCATTTTAGTTGCCCTCCCCTCTCCCACCTCCTTTTCCCAGTCTCCCCCAGTTTTGTTCAATAAAGAGAGATTCTATTTTTGGACACAATTGTCCTTTATTTTGTACATCAGGAAGGGGGGCTAGGGAGGGGTAAGTGAAAGGAGGTGAGGGAGGAATGGGGTATGAGCCCCCAATGGGAAGGACTGGGCTGGCTCTGCGGGCTTCTGGGGGTGGAACCTCTCCTGCAGCCCCCCAATTGCCCCCTCTCTCCAGATGGCAGCCTGCGGCAAGTGCAGCCGGTCTGATGGCCGAGTGCTGTAATGTTCCCAGTTTGGGTACTCCGGGCAATCCAAGGCAGGACTGCTTTGCAAGCGGGGCACCCCTGAGAACTGTCTGTCCGGGGTGGGGGTCGGGTCCCTTTAAGCACAGCCCTCAGCTAGCCTGAGACAGCAGCTCCACGCTCTAGGTCCTCATCTGATGCCCTGCCGGCACTGCTTCCGGCCATCCTTAACCTCAGTTCAGGGTCCACTCTGTGTGGACATGCTAGTTCAAATTAGCAAAACGCTAATTCAAACTAGTTTTTTAGTCTGGATCCGTTAGTTCGAATTAGCTTAGTTCGAATTAACTAATTTGAACTAAGTTAGTTTGAATTAGTGCTGTAGTGTAGACATACCCTAAGTCTTTATAATTTGTAGAATGGCTGGATGTTTTTCCTAGAATAGTCAGTGGTGTCATACTTAACATTTAATGGTGGTCAGTAAGCTTCATATTTAACACTTTATTTGTTTCTTTATAAACAAGTAAGACCTCACCCTTCATAAAGTTATTGATTTTGTCCTTCTATAAAACTGGCAAGATATCATTGATTGGGTCCCATTCAGAAGTTGTTCTCACATTAAGAGTTACAATTTTCATATTTTTGTGAAAAAAAACAGTTACTTACCTCGTAACTGTTGTTCTTAAAGATGTGTTGCTTATGTCCGTTCCACCAGGTGTGTGCGCACTGCGTGCACAACTTCCGGAACTTTTTTACCCTTAGCAGTACCCATTGGGCCAGCCAGGGAGCCCCCTAAAGTGGCACCGGTATAACCATGCATATATACCCCTGCTTGCCCAACTCCCGTCAGTTCCTTCTTGCCGGATATTCCAATGAAGGGGAGGGGGCGAGATTGGAATGGACATAAGCAACACATCTCAAAGAACAACAATTACGAAGTAAGTAACCGTTTTTCTTCTTCGAATGCTTGCTTATGTCCATTCCATAAGGTGATTCCCCAGCCATACCTATGGAGGTGGGGTCAGAAGTCTAGAGTGAAACGGTCTGCAGCACTGCTGCCCCTACCGCTGCATCCTGCCTGGCCTGCTGCGTGATTGCATAGTGTGAAGTGAACGTGTGGACCGATGGCCACGTGGCTGCTCTACAGATGTTCAGAATTGGCACCTGCGCTAAGAATGCTGTGGATGATGCCCAGGCTCTGGTTGAATGGGCCGTGATAGGGGGTGCTGGTTTCCCCTTCAGGTCATAGCATGCCCTAATGCAGGCAGTAATCCACAAGGACAGACACTGGGCTGACACCAGGCAACCTTTCATTCTTTCAGCTATGGAAACAAAGAGCTGCATGGATTTATGGAATTGCCTTGTCCTTTCCAAAAAAAATGTTAGTGCTCTCCTGACATCTAATGTGTGTAATGCCTGTTCCTTACCATCCGCGTGTGGTTTCGGGTCAAACATCAGGAGGTAGATTTCCTGGGACATGTGAAACAGTGATACCACCTTAGGTAGGAAGGCTGCATGTGGGTGTAGGATCACCCTGTCCTTTGAGAACACTGTATACAGAGGCTCCGAGGAAAGGGCACGTAACTCTGAGACCCTTCTAGCCGAGGTAATGGCCACCAGAAACGTAACCTTCAAGGATAGATGAGACAGAGAACAAGTAGCCAGAGGCTCAAACGGGGCTCCCATGAGGTCGTGAAGCACCAAGTTCAGATCCCATTGAGGGATGAGTTATCTAACCTGGGGGTTCAGTCTGTCCAGGCCTTTCAGGAACCTCTTGACCATGGACTGCACAAATACTGAACTTCCACCCCTCCCTTGATGAAAGGCTGCAATGGCCGCTAAGTGTACTCTAATCAAGGAGGAAGATAACCCCTGCTGCCTAAGGTCAAGGAGATAATCTAGAATCCTCCGGATAGGGACTGATACTGGGTCCCCACCCTCCCTAGCAACCCACGTTGAAAACCTTTTCCATTTAGCTGTATAGATTGCCCTGGTGGAGGGTTTCCTGCTCTCCATCAGCGCCCTTTTCACTGGATCTGAACAGAGGAGCTCCCCACCTCTAAACCACTGATCTTCCAGGCCATGAGGTATAGGGACTGCAGGTTCAAATGGCACAGGAGGCCTTGGCCTATGTCCTGTGTTAGCAGATCCGGAACCTGGGGGAGGGGGATAGGGTCTTCCACCAGGGGGTTCCGCAGGATAGTGTACCAGTGTTGCCTGGGCCACGCTGGGGCAATGAGGATCAGTGTCATCCCGTACCTCCTGACTCTTAAAAGTACCTCGTGAATCAGAGGAAAGGGGGAAAAAGCGTATAGCAGGTGCTTCGGCCACTGCACCACTAAAGCGTCCCCCACTGACCCTGGTTCCCTCCCTCAGTACGAGCAGAACCTGGGGCATTTCTTATTGACGTAAATAAGTCTAGGAGGGGAGAACCCCACCTGTGGAAGAGTGTGCTGGCCACCTCCCCTTTGAGGGACCACTCATGGGCTGCAAACGTCCTGCTGAGCTGATCCACCAGGGTATTGTGGGCCCCAGGAAGGTAGGTCGCCTGCAAAGATATTGTGTGCAATGCAAAGCTCCCAGAGGGTTATCGCCTCCCGACAGAGGGGAGAGGAGCGAGCACCACCCTGTCTGTTGATATAGTATATAGTGGCTGTGTTGTCTGTCTGTATGGAAACACAGCTGCCCTTCCGGCGGGGAAGGAACGTTAGGCAAACGAGCCGAACCGCCCTCAGCTCCCTGACATTGATATTCAGTTTTCTCTCCGCCTCAGATCACATAAACCCGACCTAGGGCCTTGGGACTGATTTGGCGGACCCTGATTATGGACCGAACCCGAATGAGAACACCTCCTCGGGTTCCTGTTGTTACCACCCTGGGTCCTAAGACTGTGATCAAATCTGGCCCCTTGATTGTATCCCCTCTGCCCTTGGGGGTTCAGATGACAGCATTATGGGGACAGGGTATGAAAACTTAAGGATTTTAGTGTTGCCCTAGAATCCTTTAGGCTATGCAGCCTACTGTCTTTCTGCTCCGAGAAGTGGCCCGTTCCTTCAAAGAGTAAGTCTTGCAGCGTCATCTGGAGTTCCAGGGGAATACCGGAAACCTGGAGCCAGGAACTCTAGCGCATGACTATGCCAGTGGCCATAGCCCATGCAGCAGAGTCTGCCGTGTCAAGAGCAGCCTGAAAGGCTGATCTGGAGACGACTCTGCCCTCCTCCATTAGGGCTGCAAACTCCTGTTGAGAGTCCAGTGGTAATCGAGCCTTGAATTTATCAGCAGCCACCTAGGCATTGTAGGCATACCTACTGAGCATAATCTGCTGGTTGGCTATCCTCAGTTGTAGGCTGGCTGTCGCATAGGCTTTTCTGCCCAGTAAATCAAGCTTTTTCAGTTCTTTACTCTTGGGCGTAGGGCCTTTCTGCCCCCTGTCTCTCCCTCTGGCAGGCCGCTTGCACCACAGCCGAGCCTGGTGGTGGGTGGGAGAACAAATGTTCATGGCCCGCTTGGGGAATGTAATATTGCCTCTTGACCCCTTTTTGCATAGGTGGTATGGACACCGGGGCTTGCCAGAGGGTTTTGGTGATTTTCGCCACCAGATTTTGTTCAACAGAAGGGCGATTTTAGTGGGGCCATCTACTGCAATGATGTCCACCACTGGGTCCTCTTCTTCTTTCACCTCCTCGGCTTGTATCCCTAAATTTTGGGCCAGCCTTCTGAGGAGATCCTGATGAGCCCTCATGTCCATAGATGGCATGGCAGGAGATGGATCCACCAGGGCTTCATCTGGTGACAAGGAGGAAGATTCCCTTGCCACAGCCTGTTCCTGCGGAGGCATGTCCCCTGAAGCCTGGGGAGGTTGAGTCATGGTCTGGACTGACACAGGAGGCGGGGGATGTTGCAGTTGGTAAGCCACTGCTGCAGCCGACCCGGAGGTGGGAGGGCGGGAGGGAGGGAAGGCTCTACTCTCCGACCCTGGGTCTCTGACCTGCGAAATGACTGAGGGGGTGTTCTGCATCCCAAGTACGAGGAAGCACTAACTGACCCTGACCTTGTGGAGTCCCATCCCTGGGCCTGGTGATATGCCCACAGGGTCCAGAAGGCCACTGCAGAAGTGGTTGCCACTGGGGTGGCAAAGTCTGCGTCTCCAACGGGTGATGTGCCTTAGACTGGTACCGGGGGCTCGACCGGTGCCAAGACCTAGATCAGTACCGAGGGCTTGACCTATGCGACCTGCCAGAGTGTCTAGAGGAAGCTCTAGAAAAGAGAGACTCCACTTCCGATTCGGATGAATAGTCCGATATCGACCAAGGTGGTGCCATCGGCTGCTCTTGGCCCTGCTGTTGGATGTGTTGGCAGCTGGTTTACCGCGGTATCTGGGTGGTGCCAGCAGTGGCATGGTCCCAGTTTCTGGTGCTGGAGGACGTGGTACCGGGGTTATGAAGGGTCTGTCCCGCACTTTTTCTTGCACCGCCATGGTCGGTGCTGGCCACCCTGTCAGCACAGGCAGTGCCTGGGCAGATGGTGCTGTGGCAGATGGTGCCGGGGTCGGAGGTGTGGGGGCAGGTGGTGCCAGAGCAGACAGTACACCCTCCCTCTCTTGGCTGACTTGGACCTCTGCACCACGCGGTGCTGATCCAGGTGACGCTGTGAGCTCGATGAGCTCCTGTGCTTCCAGGAACATCTCTGGTGTTAGCGGCAGGTGAACCTCCTCCACGGACAGGTCCAGGGTGTCAGGACTACTCTCCCTGCGAGAGCTGAATCTGCACCTGTGCCGCTCCTGTGCCAGGGATTTAGGGCAGTTGGCGTGCCTCTCTTCCCCTTCTTGAGGGCGATCTGCCTCTGCACACTCTCTTGTGTGTGTGCAGGCCTGGAGACTGGGAACGGTGCTGTGGTGCTGAGTGATATTCCTGCACTGAGGAATGCCTCTCCTGTTGCCCAGTCTCCCGCACCGACCCCGGTGCACTCCAGTGCCTGGGGCTGCAGCGCTGACTCCATCAGAATGAATTTAAGTCTCAAGTTGCGCTCTCTCTTAGTTCAGGGCTTAAGTGACTTACAAATCTTACAAGAATCTGTAAGATGCCCCTCAACCAAGCACTTCAAACAGTCTTTATGTGGGTCTCTGCGGGGCACAGGCTTGGAGCAGCGCCTGCACGGTTTAAAGCCTTGAGGGCCTGGCATGTCCTCCTCTGAATCTGGGGGAGGAGGGACTGCTTCTAACACCCTAACTATGCACAACAAAGAACTAACAACTATTTACACTAGATAACTAACTGAATACTAAGGGCAGTCTCTCAAAGCAAGATGAGTGTTCCAGTCGACCCTCACGGGCGGTAAGAAGGAACTGAGGGGTTTGGGGCCAGCAAGGGTATATATGCACGGCTATACTGGTGCCACTCTAGGGGGCTCCCTGGCTGGTCCAACGACTACTGCTAAGGGTAAAAAAGTTCCGGGAGTCACGCAGGCGGTGCACACACACCTAGTGGAATGGATGTAAGCAAGCACTTGAAGAAGAAGTTTAAATTCTGCACTTACTAACGGAAGCTACCAGATGAGTGCGAAACTACTATGGACCAGAACAGCACTCCCCAGGACGACAAATCTAGTTATTTACCTTACAGATTTACATGCACTTTTAAAAGTTTTTACATGCACAAATTTCAAGATATTGAAAGTGCTAAAGGACTGTTGCTTATGTGCCACAAAACTAATTTGAAATAGTTCAGAGATATTAAAAAATGCAGAAAAATATAAGTTTTGATGGTGGGAAGCAAGTGATGTGTATCCACTCAAAATAGGGAAGATAAGCATGAGTTGGATACGATTAAGGTCTGGTGATTCACTGCATGAATCAAACAGGACTGCACAATGCAAAAAAACCCAAAAAAACCCTTAATTGGTTCATATTTACATTAGGCCTGTTGGGTCCAGGTGGTACTGCATTCATTAAAGTGTACATGTTGTCTCCAGAATTGGTTGAATCTGAAACAAATATTTTAATGATAAAGATATGATTTGAGATAAAACTGCTCATTCAATACAATTTCTCATAATTTTGTTAGTATTTTTCCTACGTTGGAGCCACAGTCATAGTGGCAATATAGAACATTTCACAGTATCTCTATTCTTAGTCAAATAACAGAGTTATGAAAAGAAATAATTGCTCCCTAAATGGCTGCTGTGACTACTTCTAGACTGACTATATGCATTATTGTTAACATGTCTATAAATCATCAAAACTACTTAGTTTCTAAAACAGCTTTTCTAAAACCTCCAGATACTTTAGAAATTTTCACTTTCCGTGAAAAGAAAATTTCTCACTTATTAAACACTTTCATGCTCTGGTTTCCACCAGTGCCAATCAATGGATAGCTTCTCCCTACACAGGTTTTGGGTTAGTAGCAGCCAATGAAAAGCTCTTATTTTCATGTCGGTCAGCCAGTTATATTTTTTTTCCTCTCTCCGCAAGGCCTGAAGATTTCCAAAACTAAAATCTAGATTTTAACTAAAAAGATAATATAATAAAACCTATGGAACTATTTGACTGAACTGAGAGTAGAGGTCAGGGCCCAGAAAATAATTACTAGATCAAAAAATGCTTAATTTTGAGTGCTGGTTTGCCACCAATATTTATCATTCCTCATAGACATTTTGCAGAGCAAAAAAGATAAAAAAGGGCTATGGTCAGGGAGACAACATAGGGAGAACATTTCCTCAAGAAAGTAGCAGTTGAGAACATTTGGCCATGAGCATCCCATCAAACAACAATAAAAAATAGTTGGAATGGGAATGACTTCTGGAAAATATCTGCGAATCACCAAGTGATCAACATATCTGTAAAAGGACACGTCCAACAATGATATGACATCATATCTCTGATGTTTGTAGAAAGAGTGGAGAGAGAGTCAAGTAGCTGCGTTCCACAATTCCTCCACAAAATCTCCCTTCTCTCTGCCCTAGAGACAATGTAAAAAAAACTCAGGGAGTTTCCAGTTGAACAGTTTCTGAAACAAAATGGGAGTAATGGGAAACCCTGTGCATGTCTTTTGAAACAGAATTTCCTTTACTTACATAGGAAAGTGAAAGGAGGAAAAGCACATGCCTGACTGAAGTGCCGTGGAAGTGGAAATGCATCCTGGGCTAAAGCTATAAATGTTGATAATGTGTTAGCTGCAAACTGTTCCAATGTGTTAAAATCAAGCCCAATGATTACTTTCCTGAAGAGCCTCATTACTTTGGTATAACTCTCTAAACATTAACTAACATTAGTGAGATAATAAACCCATAATATGCATGGAATGTCACCAAGGAGATTCTAGTGTATTGTCTCCTCCATCCACAAAAAGAGAGGAACTGGACCCAAGCATTTAGACTGATGTAAAATCCCTCTCACTCTCTATGGCTAGAGAGTGAGAGCTTTCTCGGCAAAATATATGCTAATGAGGGCCTCATTTGCATGAGTTGCAATCTCATTTGCATATTTTCTGCCAATACGTTTTTGCACTAGGGATTTTTGCACAAAAACAAGCAATGTGGATGTTTTCTTTTTGTGCAAAAATCCCTTTTACCGCAAGATCGGCATACCTCATTTTTTGGGGCATAAGGATATTGCAGAAAAAGGGTATTTTGCCCAAAAATAAAACGTCCACACTGCCTGTTTTTGCACAAAAACACCTAGCACAAAAAGGGAATGAAAGAGTATACAAATGAAGCGCGGGAAAATGTTAATTGCGCTTCATTTGCATAGACTCTTGTGGCAAAACTCATAGTGTAGCCATAGCCTTAAAGGGCTAGAATATGGGCAAATAGCTTTCACTCCTTGCTCCTTCTGCCAAATGTAGACATGCACCAGAATAGTATAAGTCACTCCCAATATACACTAACTTTACCAACTTTTAGACATTTCCTTATTTGGATTCTTCTGCTGTCATGGAGAAAGAAGTTATTTAAAACACCAGGTTATTCTGAAAACAGGTAACATGTTCTCCTCAAGGAATCATGGCTCCACTTTCTGTTATTGTCTGAAACACATACCAGTGGTTTGGCCCACCGGGACACTCACAGTTGGAGTTTTGTTTTCACAAATTAGTTCCCTTGGTAGCTTTCCTGGTGGCTGTTTCTTGATTATTTTTATTGCGTGGCTTCTCTTTCCTCCATCAAAACAAAAGCAACAATTCTTGTTCATGGTCCACACTGGCCACTTGCATATGCCAATTGCAATGTATTGCTGTGTTTAGTGCTTTTAAATGTACATGCTATCTGAAGGGCTTCTTTTTATATTAAGAGATATTTGAATATTTAACTGCCAGCACACATTATTATCTTCTTAAGTAATTAACAGGAAAGGAGCTCTCCTGTTTTCTATCACAGGTTGTGTTTTAAAAATTCTAGCCACATATTTAATGATTTTTTCCATTAGTATAGGGAAACTTTCATGGAAGGGTTGCAAAACTCTGCTCCTAGGGTCTTAAAAAAGGACTTTCCTATCCCTTGTGCGGATAATGATGGCAGAGAGGTAGGAATATGTGAGTCTGAAGACAAAAGGTATCATAGAGATGGAAAGGTCCCTAGAAGTAGAGAACAATGACATCTTGGTTGATGAAAGGAGGATGAGAAGGAAATGTGCTTTTTAGAAGTGGAAGGTTCCAAGAAGAAGATAGACTGATCTAGGGAAGATCAATTTAGTTGGGACACCAGAACAGAGGCAAACACTTTCTGTTTACCAGATCTCTGATGCTGTCCAAGAAAGGAAAGGATATCTTGTGTGTGTCCACTCTCGACAACGTCTTCCAGTTCTTCTTTAAAGTCAG